CAGAGATCCACCTGTTGATCATCACACGTTTATCTGATTGGTAGGGGTGGGGGAAATCTGTGGCGTGCGCATAACAGAGACGCGACGGCTGAGCGCCAAATCCAAACACCCTCATTAAAAGCTGACGTGTGGAAATATTTTGGCTTCTGAAGTTGAAGGGGGAAAGGAGCTGGACAAGAGCCACACTAGTTGTAAGCTTTGTAGAGTAAAATTAACGACAGAAACATGACAAATATGAGAAGCCATGTGACACGTTTCCACGTTTCCTCAGAGGAAGAAAAACGCTCGGCTGTACCGGCCGTTATAATATTAATTTACTACAAGTATGCTCCTAGTTCAGGCACACATTTATTTTCCTGTTGGTTCTGCAATGTTAATAAAATATATTCTATGTTAATTATTTATGGGTCATTACTTGGTACTTTTAAAGCAAAATATTTATAGTCACACACGCACACAAAAAAAAGTTTCAGATAATCGCTTTAGCATCGAATCGCAGCCCTCTGAATCGTACTTGCGTTCTGAATCGTTAAACACCAGCGATTTCAAAGCGTGTTTTTTGAGACTGTCTTTGGTTCACTGCAGTTTTAAGGAGGAAATACTCAGCAATGCTGTCCACTTATCAACGCACACACGGTGTGTGTGTTAAAGCATATTATAAACACCACATAGACACACAAACAAGTTCACAGATGGTAGATAAAGTCACAGTTACACTCACACTTAGGACAGTAAAGAGACATTTCTGCTGACTCTGAACACCTCCTGATGGCCTGTGAAAGCCTGCCATAGACCCGCTGCAGGAGGACTGAGGACTGCCGACGTGAACACAGCAATACACTGCAGTGTCGTCATACCAGAGACAGTCTGAGACCAAAGAGCAGCTGTAGACCAGCATGCATCCCGCCAGACGTGTCTGAGAGCCTGCGAGAGTGTAAGAGTGGAGGAACGTCTGCAGATCGGCTCAGTCCATGAGGACGAGATGAACCGTAGGGGTTAAAGCACTACGACCCCTACAGACCCCACCAGACTGACCACTACTTTCATATTGATCCTCTGTTCAGGGACTCGTTATTCCAGTTCTGGCTGACGGTGAAAGAAACTTGCTCAGTTTGTCTCATTTTTTAAATCTTTTTGTGTTTTTACAAATATTTACACGTTAAAACATTTGCTGGAAATGAAAACAGTTAATGGTGAGAGGACATTCTTTTTACCTGAGACACAATGTATATATATATATATATATAAGACATATAAAATAATTCATACATATATATATATGCATACATGCTAGGGGTTTCATCGACTAGTCGACTGTCACAACCACTAGTTGACGCTGTTGGCCTTAGTCGACTAGTTGGAAACAAAATGATGACATATTGTGAACTATCCCTTTAAGTAGAAGCGGCAGTACTATATACCGTATTTTCAGCATTATAAGGCGCACCTTCAATGAATGACCTATTTTACAACATTTTTCAAACGTTTGACTGGGTTTGCGTTATGCATCCACTAGATGTGCTAAAGGGAATGTAGCGAGTGCGCGGCACCGGAGCTGAGGTGTTTATTGAGCGCACTGAGCGCACTGGGGCGGCACGTAACTTACATTCACAGCCTGACTCATATGAGTATTCAATGTGCGGCGGCTCGCTGACAGCAACGGCTGGCTGTTTTGAATGAGACGACTCGGTTACTGTGAACGGGGAGCGCTTGATGGACATTCTGTGACGTGCGAGCAGCGCCGGGGACTGTTTGTTTGTTTGTTTGGCTGTTTGTTTGTTTGTTTGGCTGTTTGTTTTGTTTGGCTGTTTGTGTTAAGAGTGAGCGCTCGGTAGCGGGCATGTGACTTACACACATAACCTGATTTATACGAGGTTGAACTGGCCGTGTGACAAAGCGGGCATAAGATGGACACGAGCGCGAGCAATTGGCTTTATGCCCAGCTGCACTACTTCCTGAACTTCAGTCAGCTCCTTTGTTTCCTGTCTGCCATTATTGGACAAATTGATTAATTTAGGTGTGCCTGACATCAGTAGTCATGGCAACAATAATCAGGCACACCTGAATTAATCAAGTTTGTCCAATAATGGCAGACAGGAAACAAGGAGCTGGCTTAAGTTCAGGAAGTAGTGCAGCTGTGCATAAAGCCAATTGATCCATATATAAGGCGCTCCGGATTATAAGGCGCACTGTCGCTTTTTAAAAAGATTCAAAGGCTTTTAAGTGCACCTTATAGTGTGGAAAATACGGGTACTACTGTCGCTTTAAGACCAGCACGCGACGTGTTTAATATAGATGCATATTACACCAGATTTTCTCTCAATTGTTTGCTTTCACTTTAGTCATAGCCGATTCTGTTTATGTAAACATTGTGTGTATTTAACAGTATTAGCATAACAAGACTCGAAAGATAACTTAGTCCAGTGTTCAGGCGCTGTTTGACAGGCTTCTAGTGCATGTGAGCGTCAGGGGTATGCGCTCAGGAAAGCGCACGTTAGAACAGTGCATCATTATGTGAATTACATTTTTAACTGGCAAGGCTTATGCAAATAATGACCTTTGGTGAATTGCAGTGTCCCGTACCTATTCCTTAGTGTGTGATGTGTAGGCTACGCCGCGTTGTACAGTTGAGACAGAAGTGGCAGAACTGAACTGATAGAATGCACTGTAACATGATACTACAATATTTCTTCTAAAGCAGATCGTGGAGACATTTACTATTCGTGATATCGCACACCCCTAGAATAAACCATTTAACGACTAGTCGACTAGCAAAAATCAGTAGTTGTGAAACCCCTAATACATGCATACTCGTACACTCACCTAGAGGATTATTAGGAACACCTGTTCAATTTCTCATTAATGCAATTATCTAATCAACCAATCACATGGCAGTTGCTTCAGTGCATTTAGGGGTGTGGTCCTGGTCAAGACAATCTCCTGAACTCCAAACTGAATGTCAGAATGGGAAAGAAAGGTGATTTCAGCAGTTTTGAGCGTGGCGTGGTTGTTGGTGTCTGAGTATTTCACAATCTGCTCAGTTACTGGGATTTTCACACACAACCATTTCTAGGGTTTACAAAGAATGGAGTGAAAAGGGAAACACATCCAGTATGGGTCAGTCCTGTGGGCCAAAATGCCTTGTTGATGCGAGAGGTCAGAGGAGAATGGGCCGACTGATTCAAGCTGATAGAAGAGCAACTTTGACTGAAATAACCACTCGTTACAACCGAGGTATGCAGCAAAGCATTTGTGAAGAAGACACAACACACACAACCTTGAACAGCAGAAGACCCCACCGGGTACCACTCATCTCCACTACAAATAGGAAAAAGAAGCCACAATTTGCAAGAGCTCACCAAAACTGGACAGTTGAAGACTGGAGAAATGTTGCCTGGTCTGATGAGTCTTGATTTCTGTTGAGACATTCAGATGATTTTGCGTAAACAGAATGAGAACATGGATCATCATGCCTTCTTCCCACTGTGCAGGCTGGTGGTGGTGGTGTAATGGTGTGGGGGATGTTTTCTTGGCACACTTTAGGCCCCTTAGTGCCAATTGGGCATTGTTTAAATGCCACGGCCTACCTGAGCATTGTTTCTGACCATGTCCATCCCTTTATGGCCAGCATGTCCCCATCCTCTGATGGCCTTCCAGCAGGATAATGCACCATGTCACAAAGCTGGAATCATTTCAAACTGGTTTCTTGAACATGTCAATGAGTTGACTGTACTAAAATGGCCGCCACAGTCACCAGATCTCAACCCAATAGAGCATCTTTGGGATGTGGTGGAACGGGAGCTTCATCCCACAAATCTCCATCAACTGCAAGATGCTATCCTATCAATATGGGCCAACATTTCTAAAGAATGCTTTCAGCACCTTGTTGAATCAATGCCACGGAGAATTAAGGCAGTTCTGAAGGAGAAAGAGGGTCAAACACAGTGTTAGCATGGTGTTCCTGATAATCCTATAGGTGAGCTTAGATAAAGACAATATACAGTATATATATATAACGAATAAGGTAAGAGAGGCTGTCCTTTGTCGTGAATAAGTCACGGCTGAAGGTTGAAGCGGAGGTATTCATGATAACGGTACTAGCCTTCCTTCCGCTAGAGTGAAATAGTCCCTGACCGAGAACATCATCAACGTTTAATATGCATGAAAGCTCAAACTTCCTTTCTTTCATTTTTTTTACAACACATTGTGATATTTCCTCAGAAATATAGCTCATCTCTCAGCATGAGAAAACATTCATTTTCCGTTTATTCCGTTATCTTCTCTCTGCACTTATAAATAAACCTTACTAAATATTATATATTATAAATCTACAGATCTGTGTTGGTGATTTGTTTAAAATCAATGCTCACTACACCAGTCACCGAAGCATTTCCCTGCCCATTGGGTTTGCTGCACGCTATTGGTTTCATTACAGGTCTTCTCGAGCGTATCAGCGTTATATTTCAGCGCTTGAGCATGACGGATCATATTATCACGTCTCTCCAAATTGTTCCTCAAAACACTCATCAAATCAAAATTTACTTTAGACATTTTTAGCCTTTTAATTCCTATGTTTTTTTTTCTTTGTTTGTTGATACGTGTATATACAGTATACGAAGAGTTCAGATGCAAAAGCCTCTAAGTGCCATTTGAAATTTTCTTTTAGAATGATCATTTTTATCAAACTTGTATATTTAAGTTCAGTGATTTCACTTAAATGGCAATGATAATTACCTATTAATTGTTATTTAAGTGAAATTACTGAACTTAAATATACAAGTTTGATAAAAATCATCAGTAAAGAAGAAAATTTCAAATGGCATTTAGAGGCTTTTGCATCTGAACTCTTCATACAGTATATTTGTATATATATATATATATATATATTTGGTATGTGTATATACGTAGTATATGGTGAAGTACACTACTCATAAATGTGACTTTTAAAAAGAGTTTGTTTCTCTAGTGTTAACTCTATTAACTATGCTTTCACATTTCAGAGCGAGAAACGGTCATTTCTTGCAAAGCTTTTCAAGGTGAAGATCAGCAAGACGCCTGCGCAGGAAGAGTGTGTGAGCAAGCCAGAAGAAGCGAGCGAGTCGTCGCTGTGTTCGGACCCGGACCTGCCGGCCACATCATCAACTCCTGCTCCAGATCTCCAACCCAGTACGTATCCACAAGCAGATGCGCTCTCTCCCGGTGTGCATGCACATTCATAAGCTCATGCTAATTCACTTTACACATTTACTCATTTAGCTGACGCTTTTATCCAAAGAGACTTTCATTTGCTGTATATGTCAGAGGTCGCACGCCTCTGGAGCAACTAGGGACACATTGGTGTCTCACAGTGGATTCAAACCCGGGTCTCTCCACTGCGCCACCCATTCATTCATTCAATCATTATTTTCCTGTTATCTCTGTAAAGCTGCTTTTGAAATATTGTATAATGTGCTATAGAAATAAAGGTGACTTAGCTTAAAAACATTGTAAGAGGTTTGGGGAGACTTTTAATTTGGAGAAATCTTACACTGTCGCTTATGAACCAGGGAAGCACTGTGTTAAATGGACTGACTGGATCAAGTGTGTTTCACGTCAACTTTTGTTTAAAAGTTTTTGTTTAAAAGATTTAGTTGAAACAAAGCTAAAGTTTACCTAATATTCTACAATAGTTATTTGTGCAACACTACATATTGAATTGAAGGTCATTACATTGAAATCATTATGTAGCGTTGTGTTGTTTTTTGAGCACATAACAGCTAAACGCTGACTGAATGGACTGCGCTTTAATTGGTGAATGATGCACACATCTGTTGTCTTGATATGGAGACATGGGACACGTAGTTTAGCAGACATTAGAGATCAAGCTAGAGTCTAAATCATTGATGACGGTGTAGGATTTAGGAAGTGTGTGAACATGCAGGACCAATGAATGTGTTGAAGCACAATGGTATTGGTCAGCCCAGTTTTTCAGCAAACGGTGAACAATATTTTTGTAAAAAGATTTCAAATTTAGTCCCTCAATGGGCGTAAAAGCGTCCTATCCAGACTTTTAAAAAAGTGTTTTTTTCTCCTCAAATGCTTCTTGTGTTTTATATGTCCTCCTCTCTCCAGCCGTTAAAGACCCCGCTGAGGTGGAGTGCAGTCCCAGCACAGCCCAGCCTGCAGAGACGCCCCCCGCCCCGCTCATCAAGAGGTCCACTCCAGCCCGAGCCAAGAAGACCATGCCAGGCTCTCCGCGGCTGGAGCTGCTCAGAGGCGCTCTCAGTAAAAGCCCGCTAGCGTCCTGCAGGAGGCCCTGTGAGGGCAGCACCCCCGTGGAGTCTCCGAGCGGGCCCTCGGCGGACGAGCCTGCGCTGGACAGTCCTCTCCTCATCAGACAACACATGCGCCGCCAGCTCAGCAGAGTCTTGCTCAGGTTAGACAGAGAAACGTCTTCATTTAAACTAGATGACACATGCTAACTGGTGACCCCGCACCACCACCTCTGGAAGTCTACTGGATCATTCACAGAATAGCTGTACCCTAGTGCGCGACTGCACGTCGAACCTATTTGAGGGGTCATTCGTTTAGTGGTGTCTGAAACCATAGTGGATGTTATTGAGTGCACTCATTCTATCCCACAATGCACCGTACGTGTGTACAAACGATGTACGTTCAACGATCGTCCGAATTATGCCCCCTGAAAGCCCCCTGTAGTCAAACGTTTTATCCCTTGAAACTAGAGCCAGACTGATATATCGGCAGGCCGATATTAGGCATTTTCCAAACTATCGGTATCGGCAGTTATAATGGCTGATAAATGAATATTTGAGAAATAAAATAAAAACGGACAAAACACGCTTGAACCATGTCATGAGTGTTGGAGTTGTATAGTTTGTCCACCAGAGGGCACTCTACACCGTTCCTTTTGGCAACACTCGTTGAGTTGGTCACGATACATACATCGCTTGAATAACAATTAAAAGAACATCTCCTTAACTCAAATAAGCAGGACAAAAGTGACCATCATGTCCAGTTTTGCTGCTGTTAAATAAGCCGAGAGTGAAGCGGAATTAGCTAGTAATAATTACGTTACGTTCCAGTGTAGTTGACTGACTGTCCTTTTAACTTTTGACAATGTGACTGAAGTATTTCTTTAATAGCGCGTGACAGTTATAGCAATGAGACGTATAATTTCTCCTTGGCCTGTTAAATTGAAAATGTATGTTTTATAATTTGCAGTATGACGTTATCCATTGCTAAATTATGGCTCATCATAGACTAGCTAATCATAAAGCTAGCTAATGCCACTGTCATCAGTCTGTTCTGTCGTGACGATAAAAGAAACAAGTTTCTTTTTAAAATGCATCATCATATTATTTCAGTTAAAACTCATAAATAACTACAAAAATAACCAATGTTAGGGAAATCTGTTAATGTTTTGTTGCGCGTTTCTGAAAACAAAACAAAAAAATATCGGCCGATATATCGGATTTTAAAAGCAAAAAAAATATTTGTATCGGTATCGGCCTTCAAAATCCTTTATCGGTCGGGCTCTACTTGAAACTCATCTTTGATCACCAAAAATATGATAATATGTAACATAATGTGACTTAAATATAACTCCAAACCCTTGCCTCATTTAGTATACGCAGTTGAATATGCAAATATGTTAATGAATATGCAAACGAGCCCCACATCCACTCATTCCCTCACTCAGATCCACCGGTTGACGATCTGATTGGTTACAAGGTGGTTTGTGACGTCAGAAACACCAGCGATTTCAAAGCGTGTGTTTGAGACTGTCTTTGGTTCAAAATACTCAGCAATGCTGTCCACTTATCAACGCACACACCAACATTAAAAGCTGGATTTTCACCACAGGGGGATTGTATCATGTTTTTGTTTAGGTTTAATCAGAGTGACGATCTGAACATCTCTGAGAATGAAATTGAGAAGCTGGCTGTGGACATGGAGAAAGAGATGTTCAATGCGTCTTACACTACAGATGAGGAGTATAGGAATAAACACCAGTGCCTCGTCCTCGCCTTGAAAGATCCCAAAAACAAGGTCATTTTTCCTACATTCAAAGTTACTTCATTTCAAAGTTGTCTTCATAATGTGTGGAGTCGTATATTTATTCTGTTGGTGTTTTCAGGAACTGTGTCATCAGGTCTTGAAAGGGAACATGCCTTCAGCCAGGCTCATTAGTTTGAGTCAGCAGGATATGACACGTGTGCAGGTAAAGAACTGTTAGTCTGAGAAGAGTCCATGTACAGGAGTCGATGCCGATGTTCAGTTCTGGACTGTTTCCCACAGGACTCGTCCGTCTGTTCTGCGGCTGTGGAGAAACCTCCTCCTGCTGCTGCTCATGAGGAAGAGGGCATCGTGGGGAAGAACATGCTGAACACAAACACTACCTCAGTGAGTCCATCGTGGCACTTCTAGATGAAGTTATCACAAAGTTAGAAGAAGGCTTTGACAAACACATTGCAGATCGTCCACTCTCAAAAGTGTATTGGAGATTTTGGTCAGCACTGAAGCATGTGTGTGTCCACAGGAGGAGAAGCGGTGTGTGTCTCGACCGAAGCCGACTCCTGCGAGGGACGCGAGCTCGGACGCCTCAGGGCTGGTGGACTGCATGCTGAAAGACTCCACCACAGAGCACAAACGCCATCTCTTCGACCTCAACTGCAGGATTTGTACAGGTAGGGCCTCTATGCACTGCTTTCCTGCAGATTTATGTCTTTAACCAGGGAGATTTCACAGTATAATTAAACTTTAAATATTTTTAAAAGCAAATTCATGAAGTGACGTCTGATAAAATCTGGTTCATTGTTGGCCTCTGTTGTTCTCTGTACTTCAGAATTGGTACTCTATTTAAAAATGACTTAATATACACCGTAAGATATATGCGTTATATCTACTTGACATATATTTTTAAATGACTGGATAGCTCTTTACCAATCAGTATCCAGAACAATAGCAATATATTTTATTTTGAATGCGCCTTTCTCATTAAAAAAAGGAATGTTTTTCTATGTACAGAACAAAATATATCAAACAAGGAGAAAAAAATAGACCATAATAAATTCTAAATTAAAAGCTTGAATAAAAAGATGTCTTAAAGGAGTCATCGAATGCCCATTTTCCACAAGTTGGTATATTCTGTAGGGTGTTCATTTAACGTTTGTAACATACTTTACTTTGGTTAAAATTCTTCAATACTGAAATTGGTAACGAGAACTGTAAAATTTTAATGGTATCGGTACCAACTACTGGATTTTTGGTACCGTGACATCCCTAGTAGCATGTACAGAGTGAACAGCAGCGGTCCTAGTATATACAGATGAATATTACTATCAACAGAATTTTACAGATATGTACAATAAAAATAATATACAGATAGTTATTACTATAAGCAGAGTTTACAGGTGAATATGTACTATGAATATATATACATACAGATGGATTTAAGTAGTGCAAATTAAGTTGGACAAAAACTATCCGAGTAAAGTACAGTTGGAAGTAATTGCATATTACGGCTAAAGTACAGTATTGCAAGTGTATATGTAAACAATTGTTTACATATACACTTGCAATACCGTACTTTAGCCGTATATATATGATTTAAAAAAAGAGTGATTAGATTGTTTTCATTGCATGGCGGTTGTCCACACACTGCAAACACACATTTATATGCAAACACCATGAAAAAGTACATTTTGCATCCGATGACCCCTTTAAGAAGTTTCTTGCAAGTATAAGTTTTGCAAACCACAGACTCAACAAATAGTATCTGTGAATGTCTCCCATCGCTCGCATGTCAAGCAAAGGCCAGAAAAGTCAAAAATAAAAACGGTTGTAAAGTTACCACATTAAAGATGTCTCACCTGCAGGCCAAGTATCATCTGATAACGATCCTGAAACCAAGAAACCCGAAATGAAGACGATGAAGGATGACAGCGAAAAGGAGGCGTCTTCGTGTGTTGTGGACGTGAGCGCTGAAGCGCTGGAGTCTGCCGTCATCGAGTCTCCGGCTTCTCCCAGTGCAGAGGACCTCGAGTCCCAGGCGCCCGCTGCCGACTTCTCTCCGGTCCTGATCCCTGCGGTTCCCACTGTGCCCCTCTCACGGAGAGATCCTCGGACAGCACAGTACAGGCAGACCCTGCCCTCGTCTGCGGGCCCAGAGTGTGTATCCACCCCACAGCCGCAGCCAACCAGGCCGGTTAAAGAGACACACACACCACACGTGTCCGGACACCCGCACCTGCAGACACCCAGGCCTGTGCTGGAGCCGGTTAAAGAGACACACACACCACATCTGTCCACCCCAAATCAGCACCCGCAGCCAGCCTGGCCGGTTAAAGAGACACACACACCACACGTGTCCGGACACCCGCACCCGCAGACACCCAGGCCTGTGCAGGAGCCGGCTAAAGAGACACACACACCACATGTGCCCGTGCCCGTGCCCGCTCCGATGCCCAAGTCTATCCTCACGAAACCTTCACCAGCTTCACTGGGCGCTTCATACGGCTCAACCACAAGGTGCTCGCACACTTCTCTCAGACGTAACAATTAGGGCTGGGTATTGACACAAATTTCACAATTCGATTCGATATCGATTCACAAGCTTGCAATTCGATTCCGATTCAATATTGATTATTTTGGATATCAGATACAATAAATGGCCATTTTTCTCAAGGAAATCAAATCTCTGAACTAATGCTGTAAACTATGGGAGTCTAGTTGGGCTTCATTAGCCTAATATGAAGGTAATAATGAACTGTTTTGTAGCTATACAAACACTTAAATTACACTTTTTTTATTTTTTATAATAAGAAGATTATATGAAATATAAACATTTAAATGGTGGCTGTCATAAAAACTTGCCAGATTTATTCAAATATGCATTAAATATTGAAGAACATTAAGATTATAATGCATATGTAATATGGTGTATATATTTAACAAAATGCTCCTCTCTAGAGTTATTTTTTCTAGCTGACTAACGAGTTTATGTGGGTTTTCTGAGGTAAATATGACGCTACATTGTCTTTCCACGGTTGAAACGCTGATTGAGTGAATCAATGTGACATGATCCGGATTTGGATAAGTTGTACTCTATCTTTAACACACTTTCAGATGCTCATTCATGTTTAATTGGCGCTGTGACTGGTATTATTAAGCCGAGAGAGGAGAGATCAGCGCTGCTGCTTCTCCAGAGCGATCTCACGCCACAGCGACAAAACGCTATTTATGTTTTTGAATTTCTAAAGAAAATGGACGGAATTTGAAAATTGAGACTTTGTTTCATATCAATAGTAACAAAAGACAAAGATTATTGCGATCTTTTGGATGCACGCAGCCGCGATACAATGATCCATTCATTCAAATAAAACAGGATGCCTAATCGATTCTTGAGATTTAACAATCGATATCGGTTCGTAAAAATGGGAATCGATTAATATTGAGAAATCGATATTTATTACCCAGCCCTAGTAACAATACATAATACAATAATTGCTCAAACAAGTGGCACCAATGCATTCTAATCACGTGGTTTTCTTTTTCAAGGCGGGCAGACTGTGAGAAAGGAACAAGACAGTTTTTATCTAAACAGAACATTTTATGGAAAGGCTTTCTCAACATGCCAACTGTGGCCAAATTCGTCACAAAGGGATACTTAATTTCTGGCTCTGCTGAGTTTCTGAAAGAGGTGGGTCTTTTTAAACATAACTAAATTATAATTGTTATTATTTAAATATGATCTGGTATTTTTAATGTTTTTAAAAAGTCTCTTCTGCTCACCGAGGCTGCATTTATTTTATTAAAAATACACGAAAGCTTTCTTTTTCAGATAAATGCTGTTCTGTTGAACTTTCTATTCATCAAAGAATCCTCAAATAGAAATGTAAATAACTGCTTTCAACATTGATAATAATGAGAAACGTTTCTTGAGCATCAAATCATCATATCAGACTGATTTCTGAAGGATCCTGTGACACTGAAGACTGTTATGTTATGTAATGATGCTGAGAATTCAGCTTTGATCACAGGAATAAATTGCACTTTACTATATTCTTATTCATATAGAAAACAGCTTATTTACATTGTAATATTTCACAATATTACTGTTTTTTGTATCAAATAAATGCAGCCTTGGTGAGCAGAAGAGACTTCTTTCAAAAACATGAACAATCTTGTCTTAGTACTAATTATTTTCTCGAAGTATGCTGTATATGACACGACAGATTTTCTCTGTATAGGACTTGCCAGACACTATACAAGTCGGAGGCAGGATATTACCTCAAACTGTCTGGGAATATGTTGATTTGATTAAGACATCAGAGGCAAAGGTAAGCCCATGACCTCAAATTTATTATTAAAAATACTGATATTTTAACCCTTGTGCTGCATTAGATTTTTAACACCGTTGAGTGCATCAAGGACCAAAAATGGCCACATATTAAACATTGCCTAAAATATTATATATTATTATTATTTTCCACTTTTACCAAGTTAAATCTTTTAACCAGCATCAGTCCTCATCATAACTACCAAAAATGTTTTCAATTTCAGGATTTTAACCCTTTAATTACCAGTTTTGTTGGCGAAACCATCGATTTGTATAAGAGGAAAAAACACAAAAATTCAATTATTTTCAATAAACTAAATGCAAAGAGAAAACTTTAGATTTGGATTATCACAGTCTTGAATATGTCAAAGATTAGCAGCAACATTATTTTTGGTGCATTTAAAGATTTTGTGTTATGCCAGATTAAAAAAAAAAAAATCCCACTTAGCGCATTAGAGACCAAAAATGGCCACCTATTAAACATTGCCTATTGCCTAAAATAAGGTGCATTTCCACCCATAGGGAATAAATATGTAGTGACGTCATCACTATATAATGCAAATATAATGCTTTTGCTTCAAAATGAAAGGATGTTTGTGCAAAAATCATGTTTCATGTATTACTGACACGTTTTAATGGGTTTCAATGGGCCATTTTTGGTCTTTATGGTGCTGAGTGTTACTATTTGATCTACACAGTGTGTGTTATACATATTTTGCAAAATGGGATCACATTTTTTACATGTATCCAAAAAGTCACAATTTTGCCAAATTTCATACCATTTGCATTAAAACAGCCAAAATGGTCAAAGAAATTAAACTGCAAAAGACCAAAAATGTCCCTAATGCAGCATAAGGGTTAAATGCACATTATTTGCCCTTGATCAAATCTATTTGCACTATTTCTTTGAATACAGGAGCTGTCATTAATCCGGTTTCACCCAGCCTCTGAAGAAGAGGAGGTTGCATACGTGTCCCTGTTCTCATATTTCAATAGTCGAAGGAGATTTGGGGTTGTTTCTAATATTTGTAAACACATTAAAGATCTTTACCTCATCCCGCTCTCTACAAAACAGTCCATCCCTACGGCACTTCTTCCAATAGAGGGACCAGGTATATCATGCACATATTACATACTGATCTGTTTCGACATCATCAGGTGATGATGATTTTAACCGTTTTATGTTGTGACCTCTCTTAGGGCTTGAACAGGATCACCCTAATATCCTAATGGGGTTAGCAGTCTGTCAGAAAATGAAGGGATTGCCACAAGATATTGGTGAAAAGAAGTCAAGGCCCTTGATTTGTGTGGATAAAAAGGAAACCGGCAAACCCACCCCACTAAATGATCTCGCACCACACAACATTAAGGGTTGTGATGCTGATATCTTCCTCAACTCAAATCCTTCTGGATTACCTTCAGTTGGGTTGCCAGACTCCTCATGCTCTCTGGACGCCCTGTCTTCTCTCCCGAGAGGGTTTTCTGTGTCGAAACCCACCCCTTCTGTCAATGCGGGCCCATCCAAAGACTCCACCAATACCACCCCACTTCAGACCATCCTTAACACGTTATTTGGTCAAAAGAAACAACCCCCTGATGCCACAGAGTGTAAAATAAGCTCGTCAACAGATACGGTTCAGCCTTGTCAACAGATCAGCAAACATGATGATCCAATGGAGTTGGGTGATGATAGGCCTTACGACCCCGAGGAGTATGACCCGGCTATGTCTAATGGGGCCCTGGTTACTTTTAGTCCAACCCATGTTGTGGAGCCTGAAGTTTCATCTGCAGCCCTTGGTGATGATGACAGTGATGATGATAGACCGTATGACCCAGAGGAAGAGTACAGTGCAGTTGCTAATGTTCATACTGTCAGAAATAATATACCCAAGACCTCGGAGGCTAAAACTACGGAAGAGTCCTCTATGGTTACCAGTGATGTAGCCTATGATCCAGAGGATGAGACTGTGTTCGAGGAGATGCAAAACTACCTCACAAGTAACTCTTTACCTCACAAACCCACCATCTCTGAACATAAAGTTGCCCTTTACAATGATAAAATCTCAAGTACTACATTCTCGGAGCAGCAAAGAATTCTTGAAGAGTTGAATAGGCAGATAGAGGAACAGAAAAGACAGTTAGAAGAACAGACGGAAAGTCTTCGCCTTCAGAAGGAGGCCATTGGTGTTTCCATGGCCCATTTCTCAGTTTCTGATGCTCTGATGTCGCCTCCAACAGCGTTTGGTAGGGAGGAAGAGGATGAAGTAGAAAAAACACCCTATTGCCCAATGATTAATCAGAACAGGGATCCACGCATGTGTCGGAGAGCAAGCCAGGATGTGCAATTTGATCTTGCTGAATGCGAAGCTATAGAAAAAGAAATTGCACACAAATTATTAAACCTGGAAGAGGTCAAGAATATAGTGGTGAACGAAGCTTTAATCACAAAGAAAGAGAAAGTAGATCTTGATACGGCAATGCCAAAAGAAGGGACACCAGAAACTGCACAACTACAGGACACAAAATGCTCACGTTCAGAGAAAACAGACAGAAAAGGAGGCAGCAGAAGGTCCACATCAAGCTCAAGAAGGAGGTCGTCGGCCGAACACAAGTCACACCACAAAGACCGAGCGTCGCACACAGCTAGAGCCTCTAAGGACGTCCCGGAGAAAGCCCACCGAAGCCGTTCGTCTGCAGAGCGGTCCTCTCGAGGGAGTCACAGCGACCGGAGGAGAGAGGCGTCTTCACGGACACGTCATCGGCACCCCCACAGGGACTCGTCGTCGCCCTCGCGGCACCGAAGGAGACGCCGCCACTCCACGCCCTCACGCTCCAGCCGGAGGAACAGGTCTGCACTGGACGACAGTGGCCCGTCCCGAAAGACCGAGCAAGAACCTGGCCCGTCCCCAGAGCGCAGCGCTCAGTCCTCAGTACAGGGATCTGACCCGCTGCCAGGCAGGGAGGGCATGCAACACACATCGGGACACAGTGAGAGTGCTGGGAAAGACAAGCATTTGGCCGGGGTTCAGCAAGGGGGTCCTTTAAATAGAAAGCATGAGGCTGAGCAAAGACTTCAGACATTCCAGAATCCAGATTGTTCTCCGCTGCTATTGAAGAAGTCATTTGACCAAAGCCAGCCGTTTTCTAGACGATCTGAAATAATGAGAGATCATTTGCCCCCGAGCAGAATCGACTCGTCGTCTAAAGAAGGACCACTCCTGCCCGAGACGGACCTACCTTTACTCAGAGTTAAACCAGAATCACAGACACACACGTTTAAGACCGAGTCCATCAGTCCGCCACACAACCGAACGGCTCACTTTCCCGAGCCTGGCCAGATCGAGCAGCAGAGAGGCATGCCGTCAGTTCAGAGGCCGAATTATTTAAAGAATGAGACGGACCAATTACATCCAGGAGACTACACTCAAAGGGCTTTCCATTCGCAACACAGACGTTTATCTCAACCCGACTCCTACTGCGGAGAACTGCCTCGAAATAAAAGAGACCGCTTTTTTATGCACGACAGTCAACCTCAAAAAGAGGAGGAGTTCTCCCCAAGGGAGCATGAGCACCAAAAACATCCACCCCACATGCTCAGGAGATTTCCACACGGAGAGAACGACCAGGTCCATCAAGCACAGAAACCCAGGCCTGCCCAGTCACACGAAGGCAATTTTCCTGAAGAACCTGAAACTGATAGATTAGCTCACAAAAGATTTAGACCTTACACGCAGGAGCAAAACTTTCATAAGGACGAACCTGTCCAGTTTGAGCGAAGAGAGTCGATATTGGGGCCTGTCCCTGTGCACAAGGGCGATTTCAGGCCTCCTGGTCCCAGAGAGCGTTTCCAGCCCCCGTTTGAGAAGTGGGAGCCATCAGGAGAGCCCCCGCCTGTGTCCGTGAGGAAACCGCGACGGCCTCGCTTGGGCCAGTCCTCGGGCTTTGAAGCGAGTGGACATGATATGTGTGAGCCACAAGGTCCTGACTGCACTCAGGCGTTTGCAGAGGAGGCAGAAGATCCAAGAGCTCAAACTTGTTTTCCAAGACGGGGTGCACATGCTCAAAACCCGCACGGCCCGTTTGAAGGACAGCGATACCCTGAGGGTCCACCGAGAGGGTTTAGAGGACAAAGACGGGGTGTCCGTGGGACTTGTTTTGCAAGAGGTCATCCAATGAATGAACAGATGAGGGGACCTCGCTTTGATTCTCCGCAGCAGTTTCTGGGCCAAAGAGAGCCTGCTCCTGATGGACCGAGAAGACCTTCACCTCAAAACTGTGAGCGTTTCGACGAGCATTCATCTGGCTTTCCCAACCATTCCACTACCACTCATTTTAAAAAAACACTACGTCAAAATCCATGCGAGGTTCAAAACTTAGGGCAGCCACCTGCACCTTTTGAGCGCCAACCGAGGCCGACGAATATACGCCCTCCAAGACGATCCGGTCTGCTGCCCACTCCCCCTGGAAGCCCGATTAATCTCAGCGCTGCCCTGGTGCACAGACGCGGCTCCCACGGTGAGTGTGAGCGGGCACCGGCACACGGGCCACCGGACACCATTCGTGAAGAGAACAACAGTTTTAAACGTCCGCTGCGTGATCACTCAGAAGGTTTGCTTCAGGAAGAAGGGTATGAGAGCAGACCGGCAGACCCGAGTGTTCGGAACAGGAGTTACGGACCAGCCTGCCGGAGGTCACGAGGACGGGGCGTTAGATTTAGAGGTGAAAAAAGGCCAGATATGTGGAGATAGGAAAATAGTGGAGATGTTGATTCGGAGCTGAGCAGTCGAGATGTGATCTTGTTATAAGCCTGCACATTGATGGATCTCAATCAGAAAAGATTGTTCTGTAAAGTGCAGCAGTTTTTTTTTTTGATGAATCTGTTTGGTGTTTCTTGATTGAAGGTTTGTTCACCCTGCCATATCAACTTACTCTAAGTTGATTGCTGAAAAATAAACTTTGTTTTGTTTTGTGGAAGCAGGACATGTTCATGTAAACTACTGAGAAAAGTCTGTGAACGTTTTATTATTATTTTTTTTATCTCTTGCATATAAAAATGTTCTCATGTGCTATATCTAGCAGTGTACATTTATGTTCATAGATTTTTAAGTACTTTTCTAAATGTACATTTGTAATTAATTCAGTATTTCAAAAAAATGGAGCCTTGTCTATTTCCACTGATTTCATTTAGTAAAGAACTGAACCACGACGTCTGACCACGTGTGTGTTTTCTAAGGGATATGCCACCCAAAAATGCTAATTCTGTCATCGTTTACTCACCCCGTGTGCTTCCACACACACATCTTCCTCTGCACAACACAAATGAAGATATTTTGAACTTTCACTGTATGGACAAAAATAAATACCCAGAGACATTTCTCAACATATCTTTTTGTTCTACAGATAAAAGAATGACCCATAGACATATACACTAGACGTCACCTTGGCTGCGACAGTTCATTGGAACGAATGCGTCAATAGAGCCGCCATCTTGAAACAGGGGAGCCCCTCCACTTTAATGCATCAGCGTCAATGTAGTAGACACAGTAAATCACCATAAATCATCATGAATGCGATTTTTCTTGTTTTTTTGTTTTTTTCCAACGGTCAGACATGTATTTATTATTGATTCCAGAAAGAATTTATTATTTTTTTTTTTAAAAAACATTCTTCCTAGTTCAGATTTCATCCGTGAACATCATACGCTGCACAAAAGTCCGCCACCATCAATGAATTCGACGTAAAGGCAGAGATAGCAGCGTTACCTAGCTACTTCCTATGACAAGACCCCTGTTCCAAGATGGCGGCGGTTTTGACGCATGCTTAGAACCCCCAGGTGAGGTCTAGTGTATATGTCTATGAGAATGACCATAGATAAATAAATATGGCAGAATTTACCTTTTTATTTGGAGTGCCGCTTTAAATATTATATTCATATTTTAAAATGCCATCTCAGTTTTGTAATGCATGGATAGTTTATCTTGATTGAACTCATTGTTTTTGTTAGGACATATCTTAGCCAGCTTTTGACAATCATTGATGGATTCTGATCACAATAAGGAGGTGTAACGATACCTTCATGTCCTGAGTCGATACTGAACTCTCGATACGATATTATTGTGACACTCCAAGACATATGATAAAACGTTATACTTTTATCTTTATACTTATACTAAATATACTTATGTTATTTTTTTATTTTATTTTACTGTTGATTAAAATGGTAAATTTGGTTTTAAATTGTAGGTGTAAATGAATGGGCTTGGACTTGGTGCTGAAACCCAAAGCACAGGACATAGAGACACCAGAATAACAATATTCATGATTTTGAAGCTGAAAATGCTGAATTATTGTAGATGAATATGCCTGCATTCTGTCACTGATTATATTATATCTATAATAATGTAAGCCACTTTTCACTGGTAATATAAGATGTTTGGCTTTATCTGTACTCGCAGATATTCCCCCATTATTATACATTATATTCAACATTATATAGTATAGTAGTGTAAATACTTAATGTAGTAGCCTACTGTCACTAAAACTGAATTTTTTTTTCTCATATAGTCATTTTATTTTGGGTGAACTATACAGAATATAACTACTTTTTGTACTGCGATATATTATTACACTCCTGAAAGTAATTTAGTTTAATGATAAGAATGTCTGTCCTCGTACTTCATTGGGTGTAATTTGCGTATTTAAAATATTCTACCTATTCATAAAAGGAATTTTTTGAGGAATATATTGCTGTTCATGGGTCTTTCCATGTTTAATATAAAGTTATTACAAGATAATCGCGTGATTTAGCCAAAATAAATAAAGGCCAGCCGAGCGGGTGCCAGTGAGTGACGTCACTAACGGGAGAAACCGCCTGTCGTCTCCGGGTCCAGCCGCTCCTTGTCAGGTGAGTCCCCTCAGGCACCGATTACCGGGTCCACGGAGCTGTTTTCACTCCCTACATATGTGCTTAATTAATTCAGTTATTAACTGTCGTGATAGATTCAGTCAACTGTTAAATGCGGGATGTGAGGGCGGGAAAACTCGGGAAGTTGAGGCCTTCGCCAAGACTGTGTTTTGGTTAAATATACTAACTTATTGTAATTTCCCTGAGAACAGTTTAAATTGTAAAAGAATGGGTCTGTTGTCCCAATAAATTTCTCCAAAACCATCATAGTTGGCAAGTTATTGTTCCTAGCGTTACTGTAAAAGCAGGAGTCAACATGAAATGGCTTCCATAACCTATTTTTACCGATTTAAACTAATGGTACATACTTTGAGCTAAACAGAATATTCAATGAGACAAAAAAATAAAATTCAGAGACTTTAATCCACTGAGAATTGTTTAGATTGTGAAAATTGTCATAGCTAATGGAGCCAGACTTGAATGTGTGTCTACAACACATAACATGCAGTTATTACAGTTTCTCGAAAACACATTTCTTAACCATCACTAACTTTCTCAAAACGTTGAACACAAAACCAAAATTTCATTCAGTGAACTTCTGGCTCAAAACCACAATTGCCTCAAAACCATTTTATCTGCTCGAAATCAAACAATGCTCTCGGATCATACACACAGCCAGCAGCCAAAATTATAAACACTACAGATCATTCATGAGACACAACATCAAAAACATGGAGAACACTGAATCCAAAGCATGCAGTTACAGAAAAAAGTATACTGTAACAAAGTAAACACATTTTTCAGTTATGTAAAAAAGTAATGTTATAGTAGTAAGGTGAATAAATGGTAAATGTATGCACTGCAATTGTAGTATTGTAATGGATATTGTATAGTAGGCCCATCAAATGTCTGTATATTAACCACTTGCACACTGTGAAAATACCGTGACCAACTGCAAAAGCCCAAAAGGTTACCGTAAAAAAAAACTCCAAATGAAAAGCATGTTATAGTCACTCAGATGATTTGATCAAGGTCAGAGAGATGTCGATTCTGCCTCATGTTGACTCTGTCTACATCTCAGACTATCATCTTTGCAGGCTAAGGGAAAATCCTTCACACACTCTTCCTCTTGTATTGTTACCATCCATGGTTGGTATCAACATTCAGTCATGTTGCGACTTGTATTATGCACAGTTGTTGTGACCACATTATTAGGAATGAGTGCAAATTATTTTGAGTCGTTGTGTGTAAACGGTGACAACTGTGCTGTAGTTGTGTTTTGCCTGCCTGCGTTTAGCATTTTGAAACGTAAGTGCATCACATTGTGAAATGTGTTTTATTGAGGGAGAATGTGTTTAGAGTGTATGATGAGATTTGCAAACAGTATTTTAAACACCTGAACTTGTTTAATGTTTTACAGAAAGAGTGATTTATTTGACAAATTGGTTTAGACTGTTGAGAATTTAATTCAGAGAATGGGGTTTGGTGTTTAGCAGTTCAGAAAACTTAGTTGAAGAGGCGGTGGCTGTGTTTCAGGATGAGCACATCAGTGACCTGTGCCTCGTCAGAGGACCGTCCCGCGTGCGAGGCGGGGTCCGCGGCTGGGGGTCCGGGATGCCAGTTCAGCCTGATGGAGATGAGCGAGGTGGAGTACCTCCAGCACATGATCCAGAGCCACATGGAGGCCCCGGGGCCGGAGACGGGCAGCTCGGGCTTCTCTCAGCTGGAGGAGAGCGTGTCCGCCCTGCAGGAGATCCGGATGCTGCGGTGCGAGGCGACCCCTGACGGGGATGTGGAGGTGCCCGGCTCTGTGCTGGACCGAGCTGAGTGTGCCGGAGCAGACGGGCCGCACCGGAGAGGGCCGCTGGAGCGCCAACCCAGTCCACCGGCACGAGTCTGCCTGGAGAAAAGGTCACTCACCACACCACACCATAGGGTCACTCGATTCTGGCTAAAGGAGAATCACGACTCTGAAAAGCTTGATTATTTTACAAACCCTGACCATTAGGTTACCAAACAAGATAGAAACAAAGTAAGACATAAGACTATTTGCTTCAGTAAAATTTAAACAAATGCTGTAAACTAAAAGAATGTATTTAAATAGATTTAAAAAAAAGGCCAATTAAACATTGACGACATCAAAGGCATAATGCCAGGCTAGACCTGCTAAAGATTCTCTGCCAGAAACACTAGCCTAGATTTAGCAGTTTTTTTTAACCATCTCATACTGTAGTTTAAGATATGTTTTTAATTGAGAAAAGTTTTAAAATAACTTTGCTTTTCATTTATTACTAAAGCTCACTTAAAGTTTTTCGATAGCTACTATATTAAAAACTACTAGCCAAACTGATAAACACATTATTTTTTTATGATTTCACAGGATTTTTCACAAATTCGTATTACAGAAGCAAATCTTTAGTTGATTTAGGATTTGTATTCTATTTTACATAATCTCATCTGTAATTAGGAAACCTTAAACCCCTTGACGAGTTCAGTAATCGACTCTCAGGCCTTTTGCCAAGCCACCAACGACAGGCAAACTGCTGCTGTGAAGCTAACGCTAAACTCTGGTCTAGAGGTTACAATGAAGAAACAAAATGTTGTTGTGGGAAGAAGGAGGCGGAAACCAGCGAACATTTAACAACTTTAATAATCATAAAATAAATAAACACAAAACGAAAGTAAAGGCACCGGCAGCACTTCACAGCCGACTGCCACACTCATAAACTAAACTAAAATAGTCCAGGCCTGTCCTCTCTCCCTCTTCAGTGTCGTCGCTCATCATCATCCTCACGGTGTTCACAGAGTCACATCGCTGGTCTTCCTCTTCCTCTTAGCACTCGTAAATGTGAGGGCACTCTCAGACAGGGCTATTATTGTGTGATTTGTACAGTTGGCTTCAAATAATTCTGAAGTCAGCACACATTGGGGTTGTCCTGACGTTAAGACCGTTGTAGGGTTTTTGTGGAGTTAGGATGCTTCTGTAACACCCTTTCCTATAAGATTTTGCACTTGAGAAATGTCATGCTGTAATAGTTTTGTCCTAAATAAGGTCCTAACAGAAACTGGCATGACAGATACGATAGGATCTCCTGAATTTAGGCTCGGTGAACAGGATGAACATCACACCCGCATGCAAATCCCTCTCAGCCTACACACGACCTGCCAGTAACGGGCTTTACTGTGTTATTGTTAAACCCCACAAAAGGCACAAAAACATTATAAAGCACCATAAATGTTTCTTATAAGTGTTCTGAAGCCATTGTATAGTATAATGTTAGATCTAAATTAATATTTAAGTCATTCAATTCAAGATCATGTAAAATTTTCCCTCAGCTGTCCCTTACTGCTGAATTATCCACTAATCTAGTTTATAATAGCATTTTTTGTCATAGATTATGATCATATATTTTGTGGATTTGTTGTTTTTCTTTCAAATTAAGTTGTGTGTATTAAGTAGATTGTGTTTAACACACAAAAGAGTGATTATCAGTTCATTATCAGTTCAACACAGAGTTATATAAATTCTATTTGATTAAAAAAAACTGCAGTGGTATTGGATTGGTATCAGTAAAAATAAAAAAGGTGTTTGACTGATATAAATAGTTTGAGAATCCCTGCTTTATATCAATTTTGACATGATTTCATAATTTGTGTTCCAGATTTTTATCAGTGCATTGCCACTCTACGAACATTTCAGGAATATCCTCGAATGCAGACAAGATGGGGAAAACCCAAGGCACGTATCCACACGAAGGACATCTGTTAAAAACTGTAGGTGCTTATCCTCATGCCATTCAAATGCACTTCGGTGTGTATCTGTTGGCTATTGTTGTTAATGAGTGATTTCCTATGTTCAACAGTCTGAGCTGCTCATCCCTGCAGAGGTGCCTGAGAGTTTCAGACCGCTGTGTCTCATTCACACTGGCCCTGCTGACCTGCAGACTGCCGGCACACTCAAGAGTAAGACTCCTTACAGTCTTACAAATCTGAATAATGATTGATTTTTCAAATTAGTTACTTATCAGCAGATTATTGTTATTTATAAATACCTTTAGGCTGTTCTAAAGCTATATGACTTTCCTCCATCATTGGAACACAAGATACTTATTTCCACATTGTATAAGTACTCCATATGACCTATGCAAGCACTAAATATGCACTAAAAAAGAGTCAAGTAGGGGTCTCGTTTTTAATTTAATATTACAACATCATTTTCGGCTGCATTCAGCACATACACAGGCACTCATTCACATTAAATCATTAAATTAATCATTAAAAATGCCAAGAATAACCACATTACCAAGTGTACATCATTGTATGTATCCTGAATATTAGATCTGTGCATTGGGTCTTTATTCATGTTAAAACAATAAAAAAAGAGGGAATCACTCACAGCTCTCGACTGAACTACATAAATGTCTTACGTGTGGAAGTTTTTTGTCCAATAATTAGTCTCTCTGTTTTTGCAAAATTTAGTAGTAGGAAATTGCTAGTCATCCAATTTTTTATATCAGCAATGCATTCCGTTAATTTTGTGAATTGGTAAGTTTCGTACAGCTGGGAATATACAGCTGGGTATCATCAGCAGTGAAAGCTAACTCCATGTTTCCTAATGATATCTCCTAATGGCAGCATGTACAGAGTGAACAGCAGCGGTCCTAGTACTGAGCCTTGTGGTACTCCAAACTGAACTTGTGACCAATAAAACCTTCATTTACTGCTACAGACCGATAACGGTCAGATAATTTAAACCATGCTAATGCACTTCCACTAATGCCAACATAGTTTTCTAGTCTATTTAAAAGAATGTTGTGGTCAATTGTGTCAAATGCAGAACTAAGATCGAGTAACACTAATAGAGAGATACAACCACGATCGGACGATAAGAGCAGATTATTTGTGACTCTAAAGAGAGCTGTCTCGGTACTATGATGTGGTCTAAATCCTGATTGAAAGTCCTCGCAGATATCATTTCTTTCAAGAAAGGAGCACAGTTGTGAGGATACTGCTTTTTCCAGTATCTTTGACAGAAAAGGTAGGTTCGAGATCGGCCTGTGATTAACTAATTCTGTTAGCATCATCAGTTTTGCATTGATTTAATGAAAATCTTCACTATTTAAATTGCTATTTAGTTACTGTTTAAGAGCAATTGGATGAACCAAATTAAAAACATCATTTCTCAAAACTTTGATTCAATTGGAAATATTTCAATACATCAAGGAAATCTAAGCTCATCAAGTCACTTCACTTTAATGTCACAGTGTAAGAACAGGGTTTTGTTCTTAAGAGCAATGTTTATAATCAACTAAAACTCATTATATGTTCCATGAAAGGAGGAAAGTCATACCAGTGAGTAAATATTGAATTTAAACTGATGTGAAAGCCTAGTTTATGTGTGTGTGTGTGTTCTGGCTGTTCCCCTAAGATGAGGTGAATAAAGCTCATGTCATCAAGCGTGTTCGGGCTCGGGTGCTCAGGCCCTCTGATGTCACGCAGCGCTCAGAGAACTGGAGGATACGTGCCAGTCTGTCTTGTGCTCAGCGAGACCGCACCAGACCTCTCATGGACCGAACGCAACGCAAAGAAGTGCACAATAGAAAGGAGCGTGATCGCAGGTGGTGTACAGCACTAATACGTGAACCCATGCATTCAGTGTTAGGGTCAGAGATGTAGCATGTGTGTGTGTGTCCTCAGGAGGAGGATCCGCCTGTGCTGTGACGAGCTGAACCTGCTGGTGCCGTTCTGTTACGCTGACACTGATAAGGCCACCACACTGCAGTGGACCACAGCCTTCCTCAAATACATACAGGAGATCCACGGAGACTGCCTCAAACAGGTGCCCTCACACACACACCTCACACACCCGCCACCGCACTGTGTTTGCCTGAGCGTGCCAGTGGGTCATCATGGGAAAGGGATGTGTGACGCGTGGTCTTAGTAGTAGAACAGTCGGCAACACTTTATAACACTGTTCCTTCATTAATGAACAACTCTACACAGGAACACATGAGTAACGCAATATTAACACTCCAGTAACTACTATTAACCAACAAGAAACAGTCATTAACACATTACTAAGAAATAGCGCTCAGTTGAATGTGCTAGTTCACTATTAGCTAAACTAGTATTTCTTTCATACCTCTCAGAGAACTACTATATACGGGTTCATAATTCACATGAATAATGCATCTTTTATGTATAAATTTTATACATGAAATGTATTTATAGTAACCCACTAGTAACGACTCAAGTCAAGTCATCTTCATTTATTCATTATTAACCTGCAATCACACCAATCACACTACGCTTGCCTTCCAATGCTAAAGCCACTCCATCGCAGTACTTGGTCATGGCGCCAAGTAAACCGACCCTGGCTAAGAGCCTCCTTACATCCTGTCAGAATGTGCCTTAATGTGGCAGGTGATGAACACAAAAGACAAGAGGGATCCTCGCCTACCCAGAGGTTTAGGTTCTGCTGTGATGGGAGGACATCATATGTTGACCTGATAAGGAAACTGATCCTACTCTCTTCCATTGAACAAAGGTCTTGCCACCCCATCTTGCGTTGTTCCACACTCTCCCATCTCATCCACTCTCCCTGCTTGGCCTGGGAAATGGCCTTTATACACCTCATCCTCTCCTGCTTTCGCACCTCGTTGACTACCATCTTCCTCCTTTGAGCTGGGCCTGCCTTGTGCCATTTAGGAGGAGCTAAACTGAGCCCAAAACCCCCTCTTCCCTGCTGTCCCTGTCCCACGATATCCCCAATTTGAAGGGCAGCCTTTGCCTCCACTACAGATTTCTTTGTTGACCACTTCCTACAAGTATTTAACACAGGGGCTGCCTCCCTTACACATTTGTCACGTGACTCTACTAAGGTCATTTCCAGCCTGACCTTGGCACACTTAAACTCCTCCGTTAAAGCACAGACTGGCAGCTGCAATATTCCTTTACTATAAAGTCTTACTCTGCTGAGGCAACGTGGACCTCCCAACCATTTCCTGATGTATGACCTTATTAATGCTTCCAGCTTATCCACACTTGTCAAAGAAACCTCGTACACCGTCAGTGGCCACAGCAACCTCGGCAGTAGACCAAATTGAAAGCACCAGAGTTTTTGATTGCCAGGTAAAGCGCAGCTGTTTATGCTCTTCAACCCTTCCATTGCTTGCCGTCTAACTTCTCCCACTCGAACTGTGTCCCTTAGATCCCCATCATACCATCTACCAAGACTCTTCACTGGCTTCTCAGAAACTGTTGGTATTGCTGAAAGTGTTATCTGGAGTAGGGCTGGACCAGAATATTCGAATATTCGTTCGGTGGGTTGGTGCCGAAGTTACGACGTCACTCTGTAGGCCAAAACGCGGAAGTGAGTTAACATTTTAGCACTACGGTTCCCTCGCTCTAAAGTCTATGGGTTTTTGCTAAATCGCCTGAAATAAGGTCTGTGGCGAACAAAGCCTCTAAATATCTAAATATAATAGTTCCTGAAGCGACACACGGCGGTGTGTGTAGTTCCTGTAGCGACACTGAAGCGACACACGGCGGTGTGTGTAGTTCCTGTAGCGACACTGAAGCGACACACGGCGGTGTGTGTAGTTCCTGTAGCGACACTGAAGCGACACACGGCGGTGTGTGTAGTTCCTGTAGCGACACTGAAGCGACACACGGCGGTGTGTGTAGTTCCTGTAGCGACACTGAAGCGACACACGGCGGTGTGTGTAGTTCCTGTAGCGACACTGAAGCGACACACGGCGGTGTGTGTAGTTCCTGTAGCGACACTGAAGCGACACACGGCGGTGTGTGTAGTTCCTGTAGCGACACTGAAGCGACACACGGCGGTGTGTGTAGTTCCTGTAGCGACACTGAAGCGACACACGGCGGTGTGTGTAGTTCCTGTAGCGACACTGAAGTGACACACGGCGGTGTGTGTAGTTCCTGTAGCGACACTGAAGCGACACACGGCGGTGTGTGTAGTTGAAGCGACACACGGCGGTGTGTGTAGTTCCTGTAGCGACACTGAAGCGACACACGGCGGTGTGTGTAGTTCCTGTAGCGACACTGAAGCGACACACGGCGGTGTGTGTAGTTCCTGTAGCGACACTGAAGCGACACACGGCGGTGTGTGTAGTTCCTGTAGCGACACTGAAGCGACACACGGCGGTGTGTGTAGTTCCTGTAGCGACACTGAAGCGACACACGGCGGTGTGTGTAGTTCCTGTAGCGACACTGAAGCGACACACGGCGGTGTGTGTAGTTCCTGTAGCGACACTGAAGCGACACACGGCGGTGTGTGTAGTTCCTGTAGCGACACTGAAGCGACACACGGCGGTGTGTGTAGTTCCTGTAGCGACACTGAAGCGACACACGGCGGTGTGTGTAGTTCCTGTAGCGACACTGAAGCGACACACGGCGGTGTGTGTAGTTCCTGTAGCGACACTGAAGCGACACACGGCGGTGTGTGTAGTTCCTGTAGCGACACTGAAGCGACACACGGCGGTGTGTGTAGTTCCTGTAGCGACACTGAAGCGACACACGGCGGTGTGTGTAGTTCCTGTAGCGACACTGAAGCGACACACGGCGGTGTGTGTAGTTCCTGTAGCGACACTGAAGCGACACACGGCGGTGTGTGTAGTTCCTGTAGCGACACTGAAGCGACACACGGCGGTGTGTGTAGTTCCTGTAGCGACACTGAAGCGACACACGGCGGTGTGTGTAGTTCCTGTAGCGACACTGAAGCGACACACGGCGGTGTGTGTAGTTCCTGTAGCGACACTGAAGCGACACACGGCGGTGTGTGTAGTTCCTGTAGCGACACTGAAGCGACACACGGCGGTGTGTGTAGTTCCTGTAGCGACACTGAAGCGACACACGGCGGTGTGTGTAGTTCCTGTAGCGACACTGAAGCGACACACGGCGGTGTGTGTAGTTCCTGTAGCGACACTGAAGCGACACACGGCGGTGTGTGTAGTTCCTGTAGCGACACTGAAGCGACACACGGCGGTGTGTGTAGTTCCTGTAGCGACACTGAAGCGACACACGGCGGTGTGTGTAGTTCCTGTAGCGACACTGAAGCGACACACGGCGGTGTGTGTAGTTCCTGTAGCGACACTGAAGCGACACACGGCGGTGTGTGTAGTTCCTGTAGCGACACTGAAGCGACACACGGCGGTGTGTGTAGTTCCTGTAGCGACACTGAAGCGACACACGGCGGTGTGTGTAGTTCCTGTAGCGACACTGAAGCGACACACGGCGGTGTGTGTAGTTCCTGTAGCGACACTGAAGCGACACACGGCGGTGTGTGTAGTTCCTGTAGCGACACTGAAGCGACACACGGCGGTGTGTGTAGTTCCTGTAGCGACACTGAAGCGACACACGGCGGTGTGTGTAGTTCCTGTAGCGACACTGAAGCGACACACGGCGGTGTGTGTAGTTCCTGTAGCGACACTGAAGCGACACACGGCGGTGTGTGTAGTTCCTGTAGCGACACTGAAGCGACACACGGCGGTGTGTGTAGTTCCTGTAGCGACACTGAAGCGACACACGGCGGTGTGTGTAGTTCCTGTAGCGACACTGAAGCGACACACGGCGGTGTGTGTAGTTCCTGTAGCGACACTGAAGCGACACACGGCGGTGTGTGTAGTTCCTGTAGCGACACTGAAGCGACACACGGCGGTGTGTGTAGTTCCTGTAGCGACACTGAAGCGACACACGGCGGTGTGTGTAGTTCCTGTAGCGACACTGAAGCGACACACGGCGGTGTGTGTAGTTCCTGTAGCGACACTGAAGTGACACACGGCGGTGTGTGTAGTTCCTGTAGCGACACTGAAGTGACACACGGCGGTGTGTGTAGTTCCTGTAGCGACACTGAAGCGACACACGGCGGTGTGTGTAGTTCCTGTAGCGACACTGAAGCGACACACGGCGGTGTGTGTAGTTCCTGTAGCGACACTGAAGCGACACACGGCGGTGTGTGTAGTTCCTGTAGCGACACTGAAGTGACACACGGCGGTGTGTGTAGTTCCTGTAGCGACACTGAAGCGACACACGGCGGTGTGTGTAGTTCCTGTAGCGACACTGAAGCGACACACGGCGGTGTGTGTAGTTCCTGTAGCGACACTGAAGCGACACACGGCGGTGTGTGTAGTTCCTGTAGCGACACTGAAGCGACACACGGCGGTGTGTGTAGTTCCTGTAGCGACACTGAAGCGACACACGGCGGTGTGTGTAGTTCCTGTAGCGACACTGAAGCGACACACGGCGGTGTGTGTAGTTCCTGTAGCGACACTGAAGCGACACACGGCGGTGTGTGTAGTTCCTGTAGCGACACTGAAGCGACACACGGCGGTGTGTGTAGTTCCTGTAGCGACACTGAAGCGACACACGGCGGTGTGTGTAGTTCCTGTAGCGACACTGAAGCGACACACGGCGGTGTGTGTAGTTCCTGTAGCGACACTGAAGCGACACACGGCGGTGTGTGTAGTTCCTGTAGCGACACTGAAGCGACACACGGCGGTGTGTGTAGTTCCTGTAGCGACACTGAAGCGACACACGGCGGTGTGTGTAGTTCCTGTAGCGACACTGAAGCGACACACGGCGGTGTGTGTAGTTCCTGTAGCGACACTGAAGCGACACACGGCGGTGTGTGTAGTTCCTGTAGCGACACTGAAGCGACACACGGCGGTGTGTGTAGTTCCTGTAGCGACACTGAAGCGACACACGGCGGTGTGTGTAGTTCCTGTAGCGACACTGAAGCGACACACGGCGGTGTGTGTAGTTCCTGTAGCGACACTGAAGCGACACACGGCGGTGTGTGTAGTTCCTGTAGCGACACTGAAGCGACACACGGCGGTGTGTGTAGTTCCTGTAGCGACACTGAAGCGACACACGGCGGTGTGTGTAGTTCCTGTAGCGACACTGAAGCGACACACGGCGGTGTGTGTAGTTCCTGTAGCGACACTGAAGCGACACACGGCGGTGTGTGTAGTTCCTGTAGCGACACTGAAGCGACACACGGCGGTGTGTGTAGTTCCTGTAGCGACACTGAAGCGACACACGGCGGTGTGTGTAGTTCCTGTAGCGACACTGAAGCGACACACGGCGGTGTGTGTAGTTCCTGTAGCGACACTGAAGCGACACACGGCGGTGTGTGTAGTTCCTGTAGCGACACTGAAGCGACACACGGCGGTGTGTGTAGTTCCTGTAGCGACACTGAAGCGACACACGGCGGTGTGTGTAGTTCCTGTAGCGACACTGAAGCGACACACGGCGGTGTGTGTAGTTCCTGTAGCGACACTGAAGCGACACACGGCGGTGTGTGTAGTTCCTGTAGCGACACTGAAGCGACACACGGCGGTGTGTGTAGTTCCTGTAGCGACACTGAAGCGACACACGGCGGTGTGTGTAGTTCCTGTAGCGACACTGAAGCGACACACGGCGGTGTGTGTAGTTCCTGTAGCGACACTGAAGCGACACACGGCGGTGTGTGTAGTTCCTGTAGCGACACTGAAGCGACACACGGCGGTGTGTGTAGTTCCTGTAGCGACACTGAAGCGACACACGGCGGTGTGTGTAGTTCCTGTAGCGACACTGAAGCGACACACGGCGGTGTGTGTAGTTCCTGTAGCGACACTGAAGCGACACACGGCGGTGTGTGTAGTTCCTGTAGCGACACTGAAGCGACACACGGCGTGTGTGTGTAGTTCCTGTAGCGACACTGAAGCGACACACGGCGGTGTGTGTAGTTCCTGTAGCGACACTGAAGCGACACACGGCGGTGTGTGTAGTTCCTGTAGCGACACTGAAGCGACACACGGCGGTGTGTGTAGTTCCTGTAGCGACACTGAAGCGACACACGGCGGTGTGTGTAGTTCCTGTAGCGACACTGAATCGACACACGGCGGTGTGTGTAGTTCCTGTAGCGACACTGAAGCGACACACGGCGGTGTGTGTAGTTCCTGAAGCGACACACGGCGGTGTGTGTAGTTCCTGTAGCAACACTGAATCGACACACGGCGGTGTGTGTAGTTCCTGTAGCGACACTGAAGCGACACACGGCGGTGTGTGTAGTTCCTGTAGCGACACTGAAGCGACACACGGCGGTGTGTGTAGTTCCTGTAGCGACACTGAAGCGACACACGGCGGTGTGTGTAGTTCCTGTAGCGACACTGAATCGACACACGGCGGTGTGTGTAGTTCCTGTAGCGACACTGAAGCGACACACGGCGGTGTGTGTAGTTCCTGAAGCGACACTGAAGCGACACACGGCGGTGTGTGTAGTTCCTGTAGCGACACTGAAGCGACACACGGCGGTGTGTGTAGTTCCTGTAGCGACACTGAAGCGACACACGGCGGTGTGTGTAGTTCCTGTAGCGACACTGAAGCGACACACGGCGGTGTGTGTAGTTACTGAGGGAGTCTGCTCTGGTTGGTTTAGGATTCGGTGAGCCGTTCATAAACACTGTCACATGCTTCGCTCATGAATGAGTTCTCATTAATGACTCAGTGACTCAATCGATCAGACTTGCTGCCACCTACTGGTGGTTTAAAATTAATTGTAAAGTAGGCATTTCATATTTCTATATTCCATTTTTTAGTTTTAGTTATTTTTTATAATTTTATTTGTAAAACATTAATCTCAAAACATTATGTATGTAATTGTAACTGCGTTTACGACATTAAACTGTGTAAGAAGAACACCTAAAGGTCTCCTCAGACGTCCTTCTCATGAATGAAGTATTCAGAGGATTTCATTCACATCTGTGTATATACAAGGTTGTAGATGTGCTGACACCTCTGCTCACCAGACATACTGTTGATGGCATACCAGCGTTATTCAGATCACACTATTCATCAGTCAGGAAAAGCATGTATTTTGCATTTACAAAATGAATTTGGAGATAGTCAATTAAAAAAGACTAACAAAAATCTGAGAGTAAAAAAGAAGTTATCTCTTCGCTAGCCGCACTCCTAGAGACACTGGTGGTGTTTCTGTAATCATGATTAACAGTAGTGTTTGTTTTTTACAACTGGTGTTTACACCTATTCTATACATTTGATCTGTTTTATTTCTGTTCTGCTGAATTGAAATGCAGAAATGCACTGTGTGTTTCAGGATTTCCAGAGAACCTTCTGTGGCAAGACAGGCCTGCGGTTAAAGCCCAGTGTGTCAGTCGCACACCACCCGGAGAACCCGGTCACACACACCTAACCTCTGCCTCAGCTCTCAGTGTGGAGGGCAGGTTATTGCCTTGGGATTTACGTGTTTGTTGTGGCTTTACTGTACGATGCCAGTTCGTGTCCAGCCTGTGAGCGTCTGTTCTGATAGGCCGAGAGGAGAGCGAGGACACACTGCTGAATTTCGCCCTGTCATATTTTGGGTCTGCAAACTGAGGACATTCAGTGGCTGTGCAGGAGGTGTGAGACGCTGACCTGCGAACATCTGTTGTGTGTTTATTAATGCTTTGTATTTTATGCCTTGTTTGTTTGAAAGGCATGGCCATTGTTCTTTTAATGCATTTTTTTACTATTTTAATTAAAATATTGTTATATATTTAATGCTCTTATTGTCTGTGTATTATTGAATATTTCAGAGATGAGCTCTATGAAATGATTTACTGAAAAGTGGCTTTATTCAGTTTTTCTTACAATGTCATGCTGTAGAAACACGCTGTACACACACATCAGTAACTCAGAAATAATAAATAGTATTTAAAATCATATTTAATAGTTACAGCACCAGTATCTAGTGGACATGGCTGATGAAGCCCACAGACGGCCGAGGGCGTATTTTACAGTGTGTCTGAAGCGTCTCGTTCATCAGATTTAGGAATTGTGAAAAGTTTAAGAACTAAATGTAAGAATAAATTGGCAAAGAAAATCAGTTTGCAGTAATACATCCAATATATCTGTCCGTGTTCACTCCTGGAAGCCTGGATCAAACCTCCAGCCGTCACTGCTGCCTCGGGTCAGATCGTCCGGCACAAACCCCCCTCCCCCTTCAGCATCACAGTTCTCATGGGTGCTGGACAGACTCTTTAACCACGCCGCTACAAGGATTGGACTTGTTTTTTTTGTACATCAACTATTTAGACGGTGTGATGTATTTGTTCTTCTGTTGTATCTACACATGTTGGTTCTTCAAGCCTGTGGATGATCTTGAGTTACACTGATGGACTCTTGTCCTCTCTGGAGCTCAGCTGTGAAACGCTGACTCTGCCTCAGTCCTCCTCCTCTTCCGGGTGCTAATGGTTCTTGGGGTTGGAGGTCTTCCCGTGAGGCGCAGCTCCCTGGCACGCTGTAGTGTCGCAGATCCCCTGTCGTGTCGCTCTGTGTTATAAACAGTGACATGTAAGACTACTAGTCTTGCATTAGTATTCAATATGCAAGACTATAGAATAGAGTATAATGGATACAATAGACCACATAGAATCAGTAGTATTCTTGCATATCAGGGTCATATCATATGGTTTTGTAGATACCCAGATGCCTGCCAGGTCCAATAAATTATATTGTTAGGGGGGTTCGGGGCATGCCCCCCCGAGAAAATTTTGATTTTCCTGATCTCGAAATGAGCATTTTAAGGTGTTTTGATGGCCCAAAAAATTGACAACAGTAGCTTCAAAAGCATGAAGTAGCTTATTTGATCAGATTCTTAAACATGAGAATCAGTTCCAGTTTCAGCTACTTTTCTTTCCTAAATTAATCAATGTTTTATGGACTAATCTGTTAATTTAATTAATGGTTCAATTGCTCACTCAAAAAGACAGTCACTTGTCGTCACCCTCTGGCTTAATGATGCAAGTGGCGCAAACACAGACAAGCGGAGTTATACAAACAGTGAAAAGTCAAACACATTCGAAAAAACGTTATACAAATATATTTATACAATAATAATAATGGCAATATATTTAATAGGGTGCTTGTGTTGCTATTGAGCTTATAATTTCCACTGTCTTTAATTAAACTGAAATTCTGTCGGAATTTAAAACGTCTATTGAAAAACAGCCATAAATTTGAGCTACTTGCATCTTATCTTGCACTGTATGATCGTTAACTGAAGTGAAGCGTCGCGTTGGGATTCACGCTCGGCTCGCGCTTCTGTGAACAAAAATACTGCATTCTTTGATTGGTCTCACAAACATTTTAACATTGACGAGCTGGTGTTTGAGTGCTGAAGCAGATCAGATGAGAAGGTCAGTTATCGTCGCGATGGGAGAATCATTGCAGCAAAAAATTAGAGTTAAAATTACGGGTACGACTCTGGTTGTTTTTTTTATTCACGAAATTGGATTAGCAACTAAATGATGCGCATCAGAGGGGATTTAGAAGTGGGTATACGCAATGCCGACTGAAAAGGAAGTGGGTATACGCCGTATACCTGCATGTACCCTGCACTACACCACTGGGGATAACACTGTCGTTTTTTTTTCGGGTCGAATTTTTGAGTTTCGATATCTCAGCTCTGGAAGGGTCTAGAGCCTCCATTGTTGCACTCAGGTCTAAGTCTCATGGCCCTCTATCAGAATCCAGAGTTTTGAGAAGATTGGGGATACTTAATTTTTCGCCCAAAAAAAAAAAACGTAAGGGGTAACACTGTCGTTTTTTTTTCGGGTCGAAATTTTGAGTTTCGACATCTCAGCTCTGGAAGGGTCTAGAGCCTCCATTGTTGCACTCAGGTCTAAGTCTCATGGCCCTCTATCAGAATTTGGGAAGATTGGAGAAACTTAATTTTTCGCCCAAAAAAAAAACGTAAGGGGTACCACTGTCGTTTTTTTTTCGGGCCGAATTTTTGAGTTTCGATATCTCAGCTCTGGAAGGGGCTAGAGCCTCCATTTTTGCACTCAGGTCTAAGTCTCATGGCCCTCTATCAGAATCCAGAGTTTTGGGAAGATTGGAGAAACTTAATTTTTCGCCCAAAAAAAAAACGTAAGGGGTACCACTGTCGTTTTTTTTTCGGGCCGAATTTTTGAGTTTCGATATCTCAGCTCTGGAAGGGGCTAGAGCCTCCATTTTTGCACTCAGGTCTAAGTCTCATGGCCCTCTATCAGAATCCAGAGTTTCGGGAAGATTGGAGAAACTTAATTTTTCACCCAAAAAAAAACGTAAGGGGTACCACTGTCGTTTTTTTTTCGGGCCGAATTTTTGAGTTTCGATATCTCAGCTCTGGAAGGGGCTAGAGCCTCCATTTTTGCACTCAGGTCTAAGTCTCATGGCCCTCTATCAGAATTTGGGAAGATTGGAGAAACTTAATTTTTCGCCCAAAAAAAAAAACGTAAGGGGTACCACTGTCGTTTTTTTTTCGGGCCGAATTTTTGAGTTTCGATATCTCAGCTCTGGAAGGGGCTAGAGCCTCCATTTTTGCACTCAGGTCTAAGTCTCATGGCCCTCTATCAGAATTTGGGAAGATTGGAGAAACTTAATTTTTCGCCCAAAAAAAAAAACGTAAGGGGTACCACTGTCGTTTTTTTTTCGGGCCGAATTTTTGAGTTTCGATATCTCAGCTCTGGAAGGGGCTAGAGCCTCCATTTTTGCACTCAGGTCTAAGTCTCATGGCCCTCTATCAGAATTTGGGAAGATTGGAGAAACTTAATTTTTCGCCCAAAAAAAAAAACGTAAGGGGTACCACTGTCGTTTTTTTTTTCGGGCCGAATTTTTGAGTTTCGATATCTCAGCTCTGGAAGGGGCTAGAGCCTCCATTTTTGCACTCAGGTCTAAGTCTCATGGCCCTCTATCAGAATTTGGGAAGATTGGAGAAACTTAATTTTTCGCCCAAAAAAAAAAACGTAAGGGGTACCACTGTCGTTTTTTTTTCGGGCCGAATTTTTGAGTTTCGATATCTCAGCTCTGGAAGGGGCTAGAGCCTCCATTTTTGCACTCAGGTCTAAGTCTCATGGCCCTCTATCAGAATTTGGGAAGATTGGAGAAACTTAATTTTTCGCCCAAAAAAAAAAACGTAAGGGGTACCACTGTCGTTTTTTTTTTCGGGCCGAATTTTTGAGTTTCGATATCTCAGCTCTGGAAGGGGCTAGAGCCTCCATTTTTGCACTCAGGTCTAAGTCTCATGGCCCTCTATCAGAATTTGGGAAGATTGGAGAAACTTAATTTTTCGCCCAAAAAAAAAACGTAAGGGGTACCACTGTCGTTTTTTTTTTCGGGCCGAATTTTTGAGTTTCGATATCTCAGCTCTGGAAGGGGCTAGAGCCTCCATTTTTGCACTCAGGTCTAAGTCTCATGGCCCTCTATCAGAATTTGGGAAGATTGGAGAAACTTAATTTTTCGCCCAAAAAAAAAAACGTAAGGGGTACCACTGTCGTTTTTTTTTTCGGGCCGAATTTTTGAGTTTCGATATCTCAGCTCTGGAAGGGGCTAGAGCCTCCATTTTTGCACTCAGGTCTAAGTCTCATGGCCCTCTATCAGAATTTGGGAAGATTGGAGAAACTTAATTTTTCGCCCAAAAAAAAAAACGTAAGGGGTACCACTGTCGTTTTTTTTTCGGGCCGAATTTTTGAGTTTCGATATCTCAGCTCTGGAAGGGGCTAGAGCCTCCATTTTTGCACTCAGGTCTAAGTCTCATGGCCCTCTATCAGAATTTGGGAAGATTGGAGAAACTTAATTTTTCGCCCAAAAAAAAAACGTAAGGGGTACCACTGTCGTTTTTTTTTCGGGCCGAATTTTTGAGTTTCGATATCTCAGCTCTGGAAGGGGCTAGAGCCTCCATTTTTGCACTCAGGTCTAAGTCTCATGGCCCTCTATCAGAATTTGGGAAGATTGGAGAAACTTAATTTTTCGCCCAAAAAAAAAACGTAAGGGGTACCACTGTCGTTTTTTTTTCGGGCCGAATTTTTGAGTTTCGATATCTCAGCTCTGGAAGGGGCTAGAGCCTCCATTTTTGCACTCAGGTCTAAGTCTCATGGCCCTCTATCAGAATTTGGGAAGATTGGAGAAACTTAATTTTTCGCCCAAAAAAAAAACGTAAGGGGTACCACTGTCGTTTTTTTTTCGGGCCGAATTTTTGAGTTTCGATATCTCAGCTCTGGAAGGGGCTAGAGCCTCCATTTTTGCACTCAGGTCTAAGTCTCATGGCCCTCTATCAGAATTTGGGAAGATTGGAGAAACTTAATTTTTCGCCCAAAAAAAAAACGTAAGGGGTACCACTGTCGTTTTTTTTTCGGGCCGAATTTTTGAGTTTCGATATCTCAGCTCTGGAAGGGGCTAGAGCCTCCATTTTTGCACTCAGGTCTAAGTCTCATGGCCCTCTATCAGAATTTGGGAAGATTGGAGAAACTTAATTTTTCGCCCAAAAAAAAAACGTAAGGGGTACCACTGTCGTTTTTTTTTCGGGCCGAATTTTTGAGTTTCGATATCTCAGCTCTGGAAGGGGCTAGAGCCTCCATTTTTGCACTCAGGTCTAAGTCTCATGGCCCTCTATCAGAATTTGGGAAGATTGGAGAAACTTAATTTTTCGCCCAAAAAAAAAAACGTAAGGGGTACCACTGTCGTTTTTTTTTCGGGCCGAATTTTTGAGTTTCGATATCTCAGCTCTGGAAGGGGCTAGA